ATGTAAAAATAATGCAATATAAAATATATAAAATAAATTTAATTTTATTATATATAAAAGAAAAATTAAACATAAGAATGCATAATACAATTTTGGGATTTAGCCGGAGAAGCTAAACAGAGAGATTTTTTAAATGTTTTTACTCATTATTAATTATGTGAATTCAACGCAGTTATATTTTTTTTTGACCTTACAAATTTGAATACATTTCGTAATTTTGATAAATGGATTAACACAATATTTTATAATAATAATTAATAAAAAGAATCTTAATATTTATGGAATATACCTTTTTTATTTATAGGAACTAAAAATGATTTAATACCTTAAAAATATAAATTTTAAATTAAAAATAAAATCATCTAGAAATTAAATAATAAATTTTAATGTTCTAAAGGAGAAAATTTGCTTTTTTTAAACGCAAATAATTTATTTGATAATTAATCGTAATTATTGGAAATTAATATGTTTAATTTATTTTTGAGTGAAATTTGTATAGAATGTATTCTGAAAATTAAATAAAATAATTTCGAAAATATAATAAAATTACCGAAATTAAATAAAAATATGTGTAAATACACTTTGAATAATTTAAATAAAAAAAGCGATAATAATTCAATACTAACTTAATTTGAAACGAATAAAATTTCTGAATTTAAAAGTATTATATAAGATTTATTTTCTAGTATTATTTAGAAGTTTAAAATTAAATTTAACATAACTTTAAATAATTTTTTTTCTGATTAAAATAAAAAAGATATTCCAGAAGTGTGAAAAACCATTTTATTTAAAAAAAGAATAAATATATATAAAATTATAGTATATATATAACAAATTCAAATATTATTTTATTTTTTAATTAAAATATTCATATATATAATTAATATTAAATATAGAAAAAAATAATAAAAAAAATTGAATATTTTTTATTTATTTTATATATATATGTACATATATAAATAATATAAATTAAAAATATTTTATAATATTTTCTTTTAGTTTCTTTATACATTTTTTAATTTTATTTTTTATAAATATAAAGTTTTTTTATTATTATTTATAAATTTTTGATTTGATTTAAAATAAAATAGTAAATATTTATATTTTTTATTTAAATTTAATAAATAATTACTATTTTTATTATTTTAAACATAAACAATTAGTTTAATATTATATTATATAGCTTTATTCCATTTTAATGTATTTATCAAAAATTTTATTTTATTTTTTTCAAATTTAATGTAATTTTCTTCTTAATAATAGATTACTATTACTTTTTTTTAATGGAGAACTTGTATTTGAGTTTTATTCATATTATATATTATCTTGTTCATTACTAGTTTTATCATAATCAATTTTTTTAATATTAATTTTGATTTTATCAAAAAATTAATATATTTTATCTTCAGGATAGGTTAAGAAAACTTATTAACTGTCTAACCAATGAAATATTTTTTAAAATATTTAATTTTTATATTATTAATTCATATTATTATACTTTTTTATATAATTTTTTTAAATTTTTTTTTATTTAATAAAAATATTTTTTATTAAAAAAAAAAATACAAATCTTTTAAATAAAATTGATTTTTATGTTTTTTTGTTTTTCTATTTCTAATACATTTATATTGAAATTTTTGAAGTTTTTTGTTAAAAAATAGAAATACAATCGAAAAATAGAATATAATTATTAAACTAATTAATAATATATATATCAAGAAATTATAATAATTTATTTTTTTATAAAATAAAATTTTAAAATAAAGTAAAAATATTTTTTCTAAAAAAATTTATATAGAATTTATGTCAGATAGTGTTAATATTTTTTTAACAAAAATATTAATAATTTTTATATAAAATAAAAGTATATAATTATATATTTATTTTATTTTAAATAAAAAATATATATAGTATGATATCTATATATAAAATTAAATATTTTATTTTGAAAATTTTTTATTAATTTTAATAAAAAGATGATAATAAATTTATTGTTTGTTTATTAAAAATATAATAAAAATTATTATATATTTTTTCAAAAATATATTTAATTTATATTAAAAAATATATTTTAGTTTTTGAACTTTAATAAAAATTATAATAATGAATAAATATTGATAACATATAATAAAACTATTAAAATATATAAAAATAAATATTAAAAATAGATAAAAATAATTATAATTTAGTCTTTAAATATAATTTTTCATAATATAAAATGTAAAAAAAATATTTATTAAATTATGTAAATATATGTATATATAAAAAATATTTTTATATTTTAATATTAGTTATCTTAATTTATAAAAACAAAAAAACTAATTTAAGATTTTTAAAGACATTAAAAAATTATATATATATATATAAATTTTAATATTAAAATAAAATTTAAAATAAAATAAAAATAAAATAAAATTTATTATAGATATTGTAAAAATATAAAAAATAGATTAATAAAAAATATCATATTATATATAATCTTATACATATTATAAAAAATAATAATAAAAAAAAAAATATAAAAATATTAAAATATTATATGTGATATAAAAAAATTAATTAAAAGATAAATATAAAATATATATAAAATTATTTTTAAAAAAGATAAAAATATATAATAATAAGGATATAAGATAAATTTAAATATTTAATAAATAATAAAATTTATATATATAAATATATATTTAATAATATATATATTTATATATATATATTTTTATTTATATTATTTTATTTATATTTATTAATTAATATATAATTTTAAATATATTTTATATAATATTTTTTCTTATTTATAATAATCTATTAGATATTTATATTTTTTTAATTAATAAATATATTATTTTTTCTTAAAGAATTTATTTTTTAATATTATTTTAAATTCTTAATGTTCATTAAAATCATATTATTTATTATTTAATATAATATTACATAAATGGAAAAAATAATTAAAAATAAAATTTACCTTATTTTAAAATTTTAATTATATATAATTATTTAATAATAATATTAAATATCATTAAATATACTTAATTAAATATAAAATTTTATATATTTATAAATTATTTATAAAAATAATATTAATATTCTTATCAAATGTTATAATATTTATTGTAAAGTTTTAACAAAAAAATTTAAATAACTTTAAAAATATAAATTTTAAATATTTTTTTATTTAATAAATAATATTTATAAAAAAAATATTAAAATTTAATCATTTTTAAAATTATTTATTTTATATATATATTTTCATTTTCATTATTTTATTATTTTTACTATATACTTTATCAAAATATATAATATTTTATAAATATAATATAAATAATAATACAATTTACATAACATAGAAAAAAATCATTATTTTAATAAAAAAAAAAATATATTTTTATTAAAATAATAAAATTATTTAATTTTTATAATTTTACAAAATTAATTAAATATAAAATTTTAAAATAAAATTAAAATATATATAAAAATTATTTATTTTATTTTAAATTAAAAATAAAATTACTTAAAATATTTTTTTCTATATATTTAATAATTATTTTCTATGGAAATTTAATTTTTCTTTCACATATATCATATTTCTTATTATTTTACAAACTAATATTTTTGTTAGTTTCTTAATCAAAAGGGTCTATCTAAAAGTAAAATTTATAATTTTTGTTTTTTGGTGCAATATTTTAATAATAAGGTTTTTAATTATTTAATTATTATTGATAATCTTTGTAATTTTTATTTATACTTTTTATATATATATATATTTATTAATCAAGAAGTAAATATTGATAAATTAATACAAAATTGCAATTTTAATTATTTCATTTAAATATCTTTATCAATAAATATTAAATAATTTTCATTATTACATTTTTATAGAATTTTTTCTCAAATAACTTATATATATATTTTTTTTCTTACATATAACTTATTATCTTTATTTTATTTTATTATTTATATCATATTTTTTTATTTGTTAATTATTTTTTTTATAATAATAGTTTTTTATATGCCTATATGTGTTTAGAATTTGGATTATTGAATTTTATGTCTTTTGTATTAAAAATTATATTTTTAATATTATTAAAGGTTATAAAGTAAATGTATTAATTTTTATAATGTTGATAAATATTATTTTATAAAATTAAACATTTTAATTAATAAAATATAATAAAGTACAAGTATTTATAAAGTATTTATCAAATTTATTAAAAAAAATATTTATAATATTTATTTTTTTATAGAAAAAAATTATTTAAAATAATTATAAAATTTTATATATAAAAAATATTATTTTTTATATCATTATATTTAATAATTTAAAGCTTAGTTTAAATATTTATATTATTATTTATTTTACACTTTTTTTTATATCTATTTTTTAATTTTTTAAAACAAATTAAGTATATTCTACTATATTGTTCAAATTTTATTATATTAAAAAAATATATTTTTTTAAAGTATAAAAAATAATCGCTATTTTTTTAATATAACTAATATTTTATTTAAAGAAAACAAATATATTATTTATTATTCAAATTTAAATAAAGTTAATCTTTAGTAAATATGTATAATAGTAATAAATTTAAATATATTATAAAATATTATCTTTTCTTTTTTTAATTAATTATAAGAATAAAATAGAGAAATTAAATATTAATTTTATTAAATATTTCTAAATTAATAATTAATATTGTTTTATGATTTATAAGTTTTATAAATCGTATAATGCAAAATAATAATAAAACTATATTTAGATTTTAATTATTTAAATATATTTATAAATAATTAATTACTAATAACTTAAATTAATTTGTTTAGATTAATTTTGAAAATTCAAAAATTAATATATACAATATATAAATTAAAATAAATAGTATTTGTATTAATATTATAAATTTTTACTTTAAAAATTTTAAATATATATTTTTTATGAATTATTTTTTTATATTTTTAAGCAACTTTTTATAATTTTAAAGATTTATTATATTAATTTATATTCATTTGAAATTATTTGTATCCCCTATTTTAATTTTAAAATAAATTATTTTATTTGTAATATTTTTTTTATTTAAATAAAATAATTAATTTGATTTTTACCTTAAAAAAGATTAAAATTTTAATCCACTGATTAAATATTGTAGCCTTCAAAATTAAATAGAGGACTACTAATATATCCAGGTGAATTATATAAATTACAACTATCTTTTCTTTTTAGGATATTAAAAGAATCATTTTAGGATTATCCAATTGAAATTTTGCGGTACAAGTTTTATTATAAATTCAAAGAATTTATTTGTAAATAATTTTAATTAAGATTATTTTTGATATTATTATTCTGTAAAATAACAGGATCATCATCTTATTTAATTTCACTGAACAATGAGTCTGATTATTCATCATAAATATCAAATTATTTAATAGTTAAATTATTTTTATTTATAAACTTAACAGGACTTAAATATTCATTTTGTATTTAATTTTAGTAATTATAATAATAATTATTACTATTATTATTATTATTATTATTATTATTATTATTATTATTATTATTATTATTAGTATTACTATTATTAGTATTACTATTATTACTATTGTTATTTTATTAATAATAATAATTTTTATCATTATATTAATCATTTGTTATTTTTTACATATAAATGTTTTAACTTATTTCATTTTAAAATATTTTTTATTCTTATAAATTTGGAGAATATGGCGAATATTCACCTCTTCCAACGTTTTATAGATAAAATAATTTATTTTTATATTTTTATTACTATTTAATATCCTTATATTGTTATTATTGTTAGTATATATTATTATTTATAAATATATTATTATTTGTATTTTATTTTATTGCTTGTACTTATTATTAACTTTAAATTGGTTAAATTGATTATATAGTATTTTAATCTTTATTATTTATATTAATTTACATTTCAATTACTAGTGGATTTACACTGTATTTGTTTTTTTAATAGAATTATCCATTACTAGTTTTTATTTGTTTTTATTAATTTTCTATTTTACTAGAATACTCTTTTTCATTATATACATTTTTTCTTTTGACATTAATTAGTTCGTTTTTTTTTTATTAAAATTACTATGTTTATTTTTAATCATTTTTTAATATTTAATTAGATTCAGATTAAAAGTTAGTGCTTTTGCTGTTTTAATCAAATTATTAATCATTGTTTATAGGAGCAAGTTTATTATAAAAATTATGAATATTTTGTTCATTTTTGCAATTTATTTTAATTTCTTATTTTTAATTCATATAAAAGTTTTTATTATTGAATTAATTATTTTTATGGTTATTTTAAATATTGTTTATGTTTTTATTATATTGTTAATAGTTTAATTATTAATTTTATTAATTAATTTTTTAATCTTATATAAAAATATTTATTTTAAAATAATAGTTAATTCATTTATATATGTTTTTGATTACTTTGTTATTTAGATATATTTTTATTTACATTAGTGTTTTACTAATTATAATTATTTTACTTTTAATAATATTATTTAAATTATTAATATAAATTTTAATGTTTACATTAGGCCTGATATTGTTATTAATTTAATTGTAGTTCATGTTTTTGAAGTTTTTACCAACTTAATTTGAAATTTATTATACACCTTATTCTTTATATTTTTTATTATGATATTCATTACCATCTTTAATAGAGGGCATTCTATATAAAAATATAAAAATAAATATAAATATTTATATATAAAAATAGCTACTCATTATTTCTTGCCATAAAAGGTTCTTACATAAAAAATTAATGATTTAAGCAATCTTCTACTGAGAATCTTTTTTCTGGATCAAGTACAAGCATTTTAATAAGCAAGTCTAATGCATAAACATCAGTACTTAATAAGTTAAAAAAACATTTATTTTATTAAAATAAACAAATAAATTGATAGTGTATACTTCGGTTTAATATCTTTAAGGAAATCAAGTAAACAATCTCTATATTTAGCCTTTTCTTCAGGGCTTATTTTACTCATTATTTCATCATATTTCATCATCATTAAGCTTTTCTTACTTTATTCAGACCAAACTAATTCTGGGTTTCCCAAAAAGCTAAAATATTATTTAGCCTATTAGACATAACCATCACCATAGAATAATGTCTTTCTTTTGCATTAGTTACGGAATAATAATTAATAAAGTATTATTCCTAAAGACCATATATCAACTTTTGATGTATATTTTTTTGCCTCTTTTTTTGTTTAATTTTTTTTTTTTTTTTAAATAAAAATTTTATATATAATTTTTACCAAATATTGCTTCTGGAGATCTATAAGGAATACACTAAATTCTTTATGTTAAAGGAGCATTTACATTTATTTTTGATAAACCAAAATCAGCAATTTTAAATTCTCCTTTATTAGTACAAAGTATATTATCGGCTTTATTTAAATTAATTTTAATTTATATATATATATATATATATATATATATATATATATATATATATATATTAAAAATAATAATTATTATTACTTTTTATATCACGATGTATAATATTTTATTTATGTATTTCTTATAGTCCAAGTAATATTTAATACATAATATTTTTAACCTAAGGCAAAGTAAATTATATATTGCTAGACAATAATCCCTCAAGGTCATGTTCGCAATATTCAAAAACTAAATAAGTTTATTCACCATAATCTAAAAAAAATATGTATATATATAAATAAAAAGAAAAAAATATATAATTTAAATTTTATTTAGAAAAAAAATTATATATATATATATATATATATATATATATATATATATATATATATATATATATATATATATAATGATTTACTTATAATAAATTAATAAATTTATTATAATAATTTATTATAATAATTTTTTTTAAAATAATAATTTACTTCTTTGCTACTCTGTTGATATATCGAGTAATTTTATTATATTAGGATGATTAAGGCGTCTTAATATTTTGATTTCTCTTAGGGCAGTAACTGGAAACTAAATAAAACAAAAAACAAAAAACAAAATGTATAAATAATTAAAATAATATTAATGTTTCAATTTTTACCCCTTCTTTTCGTTCCTTTTTTATTTTTTTTAAAGCTACGTATTTTTGATCGATTTTGGAGTAGGCTTTGTAAACTTCACTATGAATAATTTATGAATAAAATGGATTTAATAAATTTTAAATATTTAAAAATTAATTTTTAGTTTTTTATATATTTATTTCATAAGAAAAAGAAGTTAAATATTTATAATTTAAATGAAAATAAATTATTTTTATAAAAAAACCCATAAGTCCCTTGACTAACTGAAACACGGTCAATATATTTTTATCCTAACTCAGAACAAGGAAAAAGTTTTAATTCTTTTCTCGAAATTAATATATTCATACTATTTTTTATAGTATAATATATATAAATTAAAAATATATATAATTATATATATATTTTTTTTATATTTCGCCTATATTAATTTTTTTTCCAATATTAATTTATTGAAAAAAATTATATATATAATATAATATATTCTTTTTTTTTAATTTATCAACCAAAAAATTTTTTATTTCTAAAAATATATAAGTTAATTAATAATATATTACATTATAATTAATTATTTAATTTATATAATATTTAATTTTTATTAATTTATTTTTATTATAATTAATTAATATATAAAATATAATTAAAAAAATTATTCCCCAACCGGGACTTGAACCCGGGTCTCAAGGGTGAAAACCTTGTATCCTAACCAGCTAGACTATTGGGGAAACTATAGTAACATTCATAACTTGAAACATATATTTGTAAAAAAGTAATAAGAAAATAGAATATATTTAATATGTTAAAAAAAATTCATTTTTAGAAGATATTTTTATATTATATATTTAATTTTAATAAATATGTATTATTTTATTTTTTTAAATATTAATTTTTTTTCAATGTTAAATATATATTTTTTTATAAAAAAAATATGTTTAAAAAAATTTAACTTTTATTTTAAAAAATATAATATTATACTTATGTATATTTATTTTTTTAAAATTTTTTGAAATGAAAGTAATAATAGCAATAAAAATAAAATAAAAATTCAATGATTTACATTATTAGCATTTAACCATCCAATCAATTTATTTTTAATCATACTTTTACAATCAGGTTTTATATGTTTCTAAGCAATTTTTTATCTTATATCTATTTATAAATGAATAAAATATATGAAATATTTATTATTATTACAATTTTATAGTGTTTTAGTTGCATATTTTATATCTAAATATTGTCTTCTCAATAACCAGCATCTGACATTTTTTTGAATAGTTTTAATTCTACATTGATAATTTTAGCTTTAATACAAAAGTTCATCTTTTTCTTTATTAATATATATATATATATATACATATATATATATATATATATATATATATATATATATATATATATATATATATATATATATTTATATGTAAAAAATATATTTTAAAAAAAAAACCATCTATAGGTATTTAATCTTAACATTTAAATTATAAAGGCTTTTATTTATCAGAATAATTTCTCAAATATTTATGTTTTTTATTTGCTTTTTCTTTTTTATCCTCTTCCTCAGAACCGGATCCATCTAATTCATTTTAAAATAAATCTTCATCAAACTGTTAATTTTTCTAACTAAGAAAGTTATTTTTGCATAAATCGCTTAAATCTAAATAATTATCTTCTTAACAATCTTAATCATTCCAACTAATATGATCAGTTACACTACTATTTTTTATAGAATCATGCAATGTAACTTCTCTTACCAATAAATCTAGAAAATTTCGACTCTATTTATTATACAATTTTTTTTATTTTTTTAAAATAAAAAAACGAAATAAAAACTTAATATATAGCATTCAAATTAAATATATTATCGAATATTTTCTTGTCTATCTATTCTTTTTATAAATCATTTAACTATTAATTTCCTTTTTAATTATCTTAAGATGCATACTATATTAATATTGATACAATTTTCTTTTTTTAAACAAAAATTATAAACAAGTAAACTAATAATATACTTCTTGATTTAAAGCTATTGACAATTATAAAGGTGTTATTTAATTTTTAGAATATAAATTCAAATTACACTCATATTTATTAATTATATTTATTGTTGAATCAAAGCCTAAAATAATTATGTAATGAATTAAACCATAACCATTATCATCTATTTAATCTAACCATTTTTAAATTTCTTATTTTTTAAGATGATTTTCAGCTATTTCTAGAATCTATAAAAAAATTAAATAATTTATTATTTTTATTATTCTATTTATTTTTTACATCTTATAATATTAAGTCTAATTATTTATTAGTTAAATTATCAATATTATCTTTTAATTTATTTATAATTTTTACAGTTTCTATAAATTTAACATTATTGCTTAAACAATTTTATTTATTTTATTAATTTTCATTATTTTATTAATTTCCTGTATTTTATTAATCTCCTGTATTTTATTAATTAATAAAATCTTATAAAGTATTTAATTTATCAACTATCCTAACTTTAAATTCACTTTCTATATATTATTTTTAATTTTTTAAAAATATACAAAAAATTAATTATTTATTTTAAATACTATAAAATTCATCATTAGAATTATAAATAGCCTTTTTTTTTTCTTTTTTTATTTTTCTATATTTCTAAACTCAAAAAAGGAAGGTTTATCGTAAACATCATCTATTCTTTATCCTTAAAAAAGTACTTATAATTTAATAAGACCATCTTTATGAGCAGGAACTTTTTTTAAATAATAAGAAATTATTAATATAATTTAATAAATTAATATATATATTACCAAAACATTTTATAACACCAGGTTAAATACATTGAGCTTAAACTTTCAATTCTCCAAAGCAAACTTAGAATTTTTTTAAATCTGATTTAGGCAAAAAACTTAAATCTGGCCAAAAACAAAGGACAAATTTACTTCCTCCCTTAACATAATCCCATTCAGGGGAATATTCAGTAATTCTTATTTTATTCTGTTATTCTACTGTAGAATCGGAAATTTCTTCTTGTTTTTCAAATTTTTTATCCAAAGGAATTTAAGTAGACTCCTATTCTATTTTTTATCAAATTCTAATTTATATAACCTATGTTCTAATTCTTGTATTCTTTGGTGTAAATTTATATATGAGTTTTCTGTTTTTTGAGAATTATTAGAATAATTAATTGAATTTTCGTAATAATTAGAAATCTTTTTTTGCTAAATTTACTATTATTAATTTTAATGCTAATTTTCAGAATATTAAGGATAAAAATTATCATTGAACTATTATTAATTTACAGAACTCATTTAATTATTATTTTTATAATTATCATTATTCACAAAAAATTCAGAATATTGATTATTAAATTAATTTAAATTATCATGCTAAAATTGTATATTCTAGTTTTCTTCCTGTATATTTTGAATTTAATTTTTTTATTCAATTAAATTTTATTTTATTGAATCTTTTAAATAATGCACTAAATAAAATTATATATTTTCACTTTATAACTTATATATTCTTCTATTCATTATTATATCATCTTATAAATCATTTTAAATAATATAAGAATAAAAGCATGAAATAACCTTTTTAATTGTATATATATAATAATAATAGTTATTATATATATATATATTATATATATATATGTATTTTTTTTTATTTAATATTTTTTAAAATTAAATATTATAATAATTTACATTTTATCCTCCTATTTTTAAATTTTCATGATCACTTCTAAAGCCTTATTATTTTCTCCTCAAATAAAAATGTCCATCATGCTTCCATCTCTACACATATATATTTTTATATACCTTTAATTTATACAAATTACTTTTTTTGCATTCTTAATATTTATTATAAATAAGCTTCCATTTTCTGGTTTATTAGGAAGTTAATCTACTATAATATTCTTAATTGGATTTTTCAATATGTCATATATTTCTTAAGTTTTAAACCAACGATATTTTGCTGTATTAAGAGCATATTCTTCTTACATTAATTATTTTTTATATATATTTTATAAAAAATTAATAATAAAAAATTTAATGAAAATTAATATAAATAGTTATAAATAAAATCAATCTTTAAATATTATGTGTATATTTTTTTAATTTTTATAAAAAACATTTCATATATAAAAAAATTTAATTTATAATATATATATTAATATATATATATATAAATAAATATAATAATTATATCATTTATTAAAATCATATAATTAAAACGAATTTTTTATATTTAACATTTCAACACAATTTTTTTCATATTCATTAAGTACTTGTTCCTTACTTTAATTCCCAAAAACCATTTTTTCTAAAAAAAGACTAACCAAAATTCTAGTTTATTATGTGATTTCGACTAAATTTTCAGTTTATCTTATCATTTAAATCAAAACACTTTCTTAGGGGATAATAAAACAAATATCCGTCATGCTTACATGATCACTATTTTTTAAGAACCCAATAATTTTATTATTTTAAGAATCTCCTGCTGCTTAATATATTTACTAGCATTTCTAAATTAGTTAATATTATGGATTTTTGATTGCAAAAGATTCAGTATTAATATACAAAATAGGATTTTTATATTTCAAATCTAATAATTAATCATCTTATGGGTAAAGCCAAGGATCCAACCCAATAACAGCCTTTATTTCTTTATCTAAAAAAGCCGATTAAGTAGCTGTAACACCTCCAAAAGAGTGACCCATAAGGACAATATTTTCAACATCAAGAGAAATTCTAGACTCAAAAAGTTCTTCCATTTATTATTTATTTTTAATTACTTTAATGAGCTATGCTATTTACTATTGTCTATCATTTAATTATTAGTTTCTAATTTATTTTACTATATTCATATTATTATCGTTCTTATTTTTTATAGCATTAATAAGCTCTTAAGGACTTATATCTTCATAATGATCAGGACTAAAAACTATATATCTAAAAAATATATATATATAAAAATATATACATATATATATATATATATATATATATATATATATATATATATATAATATTTAAATATTTATTTTATTTACCCTTTTGACGCTAAATCATTAGTAAAAATTGAGTAAGATTATCTATGTCCTGCTAATCCATGACTAAAAATTATTACTTTGAATTTTTTTTCTTATTGAATTATTTTTGCATTAGGGCTATTTTTTACATAAACTTTTTATACAAAATCAGTCATTATCTTAAAAATCAACCAAGGAAGTACCAAAGGAAAATATTTCATACTTTCATGCATACTTCTTTAATAATTTTCTGTTTGACACCATTTTGTATATTTTTTACTTTTTTCGTTAAAAATACAAGGGTAATATACCGATACTTTTGTATGGAATTTATCCCTTATGGCCATTTACTTTAATCCTATTTGATAGCTACCTAAAGGTTCTGGAAAGTGATAAATAGGCAATTTGTATAGTACATATAAAAGTGAAATTAAAAGTAGTCCGTAAGATATACAGAAAGATATATATTAATATTGTACATATTTTAACCATTAAAGGTTTGTAAATGATAATAAAATTAATATAACACTTAATTTAAATCCCTCATAATGATATTTAGTTATAAAAAGGAGTATAAAAGTTATTAATTAATTTAGATTTTCAGAACTTAAAAATTTTTATTGAATTTATTTAGAGCCTAGCTTTCTTATTATGTATATATCTCTAATTGAATTAAAAATTAAGAAAATACAAAGTAGAAAATCTAAAAATTAAAATTTTTTATAATTATATATTTACATTTTTTTTTTTATATAAATTATTTAATATCATATTAAATAAAAATTTATATTTTTTTAATTTATATTAAATATAAAAAAATGTCTATATTTATTTATTTACATTTATCTTAATAAGAATAAAAATAGAAAAATTAGAAAAAAAATAGAAATAATTAATTATATGCATATAAATTTATACGTTTTATATATATACTGTATTAATAATAATAATCTTATATATTTTAATATATATAAAAAAACTAAATTATATATTATATTTAATATTATTTTATATAAAAAAAATATACATTTATATTTTTAAGTTGATAATTAAACAAAAGATAAATAAAAATTATTTAAAAAAATTATAAGATTTATAAAATGCAATATAATTTAAATAAATATAAAATTATAATCAAAAAAATTAAAAACAATATTAAATTGATAAATGAATAAATCCATCAATATTCCATATAATATTCAAAAAATTATTAAAAAATATGTTATTCATCTGATTTTTTCCTTTAAAAGCTCTTATATGATAAATAAATATATAAAAAGTATTTAATTTCTTTTTTTTTTGTAATATTTAAACATAAAATAAAAGTAATATATTCATCTGAAATTTTATAAAACATAAAAAATTAATAAAATCAAATAAATTTATAAATATATTGGTATTCAAATTATATTTAATTTAAAAATTAAATAAAATTTCCCTTAAAAAAGAAAAATAAATATAACAAAAGTAAGGTCTTTTAGGAATCTAAAAAATTATAAAAAAAAGCTTTTTATTTTATTATGTTTAATTTAATAAAAAAATGACATTTTTTTCATTAATTTAAAATTAAAAAACTAAATTAATTAAGAAAAATTAATTTTACTAAAATTATTAAATACACTAAAGTAGATTTAGATTGGGAAAATAATTTAATATATAAAAATATATATAATATTTTAAAAAGTAAAATGTAAAAGATAAAGAATTAAAATAATAATAACATGTTATAACTAAATAAAATAGTATTTGTTATGTTTTTTTCTATATATATTTTTAATTTTAATTATAAATTAAACAAAAAAGAATTTAAAATAAGAATAATTTAAAAAATAAATAATTCAAATATAATTATGACTTAAATTAAAAAATTTATTAAATTAAAGACTTATTTAATAATTTGGTATATTACTTTATTTTAATTTTTCTTGTATTTATTTTTTTATTAAAACGCTTGATATATAAAAAATAAAGATAATAAAAAAAATGGATTATACCCTTATTTTTTGATTTAGTTTTTAGAAATAAATAAGACGAATTTAAGAAAAATAATTATAAAAAATAAAAATATTAAGAATTAAAAAAAATAATTTTTTATTGAAAATAAAATAAAAAAGGCAATATAATAAAATATTTATTCAATTATTAAAATAAAAACTAAAATTAAATCTTAAAATAAGCTAAATTTTGTTAAGAGGACTAATAAATAATAAAAAAAAAAAGTAATTTAAAAAACTTAAATAAATATTATGTTTATTTATAAAGTTCAATTTCAGTAGAAAATATTAGCCTAAATATTATTTTTTATGTCCTGTTTAGTCATATTATTAAGTGGAAATTTAAGGCTTCAAAAAATCTTTTCTTAAAATTTCTTGAAAACTTTTAAATTGTTAAAACTTTAAACCATAGATTACTTTAACATTTTTTAAATAAACATCTCAGGCATCTTAGCTACTTTTTAAAAAAGGTCTGAATTTTCTAATGATTTTAAAGATTTTCTACCTTTATATGTTAAAATTTTTTTTTTCAACTTATTACTTGTTTTAAGATATCCTTTTTTGTTAATTATTTTATGATTTATTGTTTTTTAATGAATTCTAAATTTATAATTAATAATATATATTAGTTATCTTTAAATAATAAATTGAAATAGTTAATTTGATGCTTTATTTATTTTAAAGGAGTTTATTAATGATTTATTAGGCGAGGTTTTTACTTTTAATAATCTGTTTGCGTTAAATTTCTTATATATGATTTATTTGTTTTGTTAACTTGTTTATAGTAGAATCTAAAATTATGAAGTTTTTATCAGTATTTCTTTATCTTTTTGAATAATTTGAATTCGAGTTTAAGTTTAATAAATAAGATATTGCTATATTTTAATGATTTAATAATTTATTCGGAGATCATTATTTATTTATTTCCTATTTTTATATGTTTTTTTTCTTTTTTGTGTTTTAGGTTTATATTTATATAATTAAAAGAAAAAATATATATTTTAGTTTTATTTATTTTCTTAGTTAAATATGTTTCTTATTTAAACAATAATTTATTTATTATTAATGATTTTTTTTCATTCTTATTTTATAATTTTTAATCAAATAAAAAAAATATCATTATTTAGAACTAGACACAAAAAAAAAAAAAAAACCAAAACCAAAAAAAATGAACCAAATAATGATAATTCCTGAAAGGAATAATTCACAAGACCATCAAATCTAAAACAGACCAAAATTTTTCGCACAAACAGCACAATTGACTGGTCATGGAGCTGAAGTCCTATGCGTAAAATTTTCCCCTTGTGGTAATTATTTAGTAAGTGCAGGATTTGATAAACAAATATTTTTATGGGATGTATATAATAATTGCAATAATTTTGGTGTTTTAAAAAATCATTCAAATGTTATTTTAGATTTAAATTTTTCAACGGATGGCACCCGCTTATATTCCGCATCTGCTGATAAATCCTTAATAATATGGGATTTCGAATAAATGAAAAGTATTAAAAAATTAAAAGAACATACAGCGTTCGTAAACACTTGCCATTCAGCAAGAAGAGGCCCTGATTCTTTGATTTCTGGTAGTGACGATGGGAATGTTAAATTATGGGATTTAAGATAAAAAACTTCCGCCTAAACTTATTCGAGTAAAGTTCCAGTCACTTCAGTATCTTTTAACGATCCTTCAGATAAGATTTTTATTGCCGGAATCGATAATGAAATTAAAGTTTTTGATTTGAGAAAAAAGATTATAGATTATACACTTTATGGACACACAGATACAGTCACAGGAATTTGCTTAAGTCATGATGGAAGTTATCTTTTATCAAATTCTATGGATCAAACTGTTAGATGTTTTGATATTAGACCACATGTCACGACTAATAGATGTGTCAAAATTTATTAAGGAAATAGACATTCACATGAAAAAAATTTACTTAGAGTTTCCTGGAGCCCTGATGGGGATATGTGCTCTGCTGGATCGGCAGATAAGTATATATATATATATATTTATATATATATATATCTATATTTATATATATATATATATATATATATATATATATATATATATATATTTATATATACATATTATTGTTTATATAAACTTTTTTATATAGGTATTTGTATATATGGGATACTACAACTAAATAAATAATACATAGACTAGGAGGACATAATGGTTCTGTAATATTTTTTTCTTTATTTTTAAATATAAATGATGTTCTTTTTTAAAAAAAATAGGTAAATGATGTGTAATATAGTCCTACTGATAATTTAATTGCTACTGCTTCAAGTGATAAAACTGTAGTTATAGGAGAAATACCTTAATATAATTTTTGATTTTTTTTTTTTTAAATGAAAATAATTTTATATTTATATTAACAATTTTCATTTTAATTACTTTTAAATTTTTATAATAGAAATTTAAAAAAACTAAAAAAAAAAATATAAAATAATGAGGAAAAAAAATAATAAATTATATTTTATTTACTTTGAAATCATCGTTTCTTTTAATATTTATTTAAATGATAATTAACTATTTACTTTACTATAAATTTTAAAAATTTATATTTTTTAAGGCTTTATAATTGAAAGTTCATTATTTAATTTTTTATTAAAAAAAGAAAATTATTTTATAAAATAGTTAAATTTATAGATCAAAATAAAATTTACTAAATTCTTAAATCCCAATCCCTCTAAACTTATATACAAGTAAATTATTATTTTTTATAAATAATACATGATAATCAAACCATTAAGTATTTTTTTTATTAATGGGGTAAAAAATTACTAAGAGGAATGAATTATTTTGAATTTTAATTCGCATTTTAATATTTTTAAATCTTAATAATATCATTTTAAATATCATTTTATTATAATTTGATTTTATTGACTATTTAAAATTTAAATATTAAATAATTAAAAAAAAAAATGCTACATATTTAAAAAAATATTTTTTTTTATAGAATTTTTTTTTTTTGAATTCTTATATTTTATATTATAAAGAAAATAAATATCATAATCTTGATTAAAAATATAAAAATAAATATTTTAAATATACACTAATAGTTTAAAAAAAAGACTATGCTTTATTAATAAAAAAAAATATGAGAGTATTTTCTTTTTAACTAAAATTCATTAAATAAAATGTAAAAATTTTAATCGAAAAAATAGCAAATTAATTTATTTTGAAATAAATAACTTAATTTATATTTTATAATTTTAATTTATATATGTATATTATATTATTTTAATTATTAAAAAACATAAATTACCAAGTATTATTTTCATATTTTATAAATAAAAAACTTAAATTATACATTATAAACAATGAAATAAATATATATAGTTATTTTTAATATAAGAATAAGAATATATTTTTATATAATTGACACTCTTTTGATTAAAACCTTTTTTATCAATTTTATTTTATTATTTGAAAAAAAAATAAAAAAATATATAGATAAAAAAATAATTTAATTTATAAATTAAATAATAAAAGAAAAACAAAAAAAATGTTATTAAATTAACGCTTATTAATAAAAAATGACAATATATGAATGATTTAATATTTTTCCTATAAAAATCTAGAACGAATCCAGAAAAAAAAAACGAAATAAAACAAAAAACATTCAAAATTTAAAAAAATCCAATACATATTTATATATAAAAAAAGCAAAACATAATTATATCAAAATTATAAATTTAAAAAATTAAAAAAAAAATGGGCTGCGGAAACTCTAATATCGTCAATGATGGAATCAACGTCAAAAATCCTCTAATTTCACCTTATAAACTAGTTAATGTTCCTTTAAAAAACCGTATAGTAATGGCTGCTATGACTCGTTGTCGTGCTAACCCTGCAGATGGTATTGCTAGTGATCTAATAGCGAAATATTATTCCTAAAGGGCATCTTTTGGTTTAATATTTACTGAATGTTCTGCAATATCACCCTTATCTAATGCTTTTCCTGGTTGCGCTTGCATATATAATTAATCTCATATGGAAGGTTGGAAGAAAGTCGTTAAAGCTGTTCACGAGAAAAATGGTAAAATTTACATATAAATTTTCCATAGTGGCAGATCCACAATGAAAGAGCAATTAAACGGAGAATCTCCCATAGGACCATCACCTATAGCAATAAATGAAAACCATCCATATTTCAAAACTCCATATCCAGTACCTAAAGAAATGACTGTCGAAGATATCCAATAAGTCAGAAAAGAATTCCAAAATGCATTTAAATTGGCTAAACAAGCCGGTTTTGATGGCGTCTAAATACACGCGGCTAATGGATATCTTTTAGATGAATTCTTGAGAGATGGTTCAAACAATAGAAGTGATTAATATGGAGGCAGTATAGAAAATAGATGCCGTTTTGTACTGGAAGTATTAGATGATGCAATTAAAATTTTAGGAAAAGATAATGTAGGTATCAGATTTTCACCTACAGGTAGATATAATGATATGTATGATAGTAATCCACTTAAATTAATGGAATATATGCTCACTTAATGTAGTAATAGAAAAATTGGACATATAGAATTAAAAAGACATGCTCCTTCAGAAAAAACTTCGGAAGGAAAAGAACTTCCAGAAAAATAAATTCCTGATTTTTTTAGAACACTAAAGCCTTTTATTAAAAATACAACTTATATTTTAAATGAATCGATTTCTTTAGAGGAAGCCAAACAATTAATAATGGATAATGTTGGAGATTTGGTGTCATTTGCAAGATATGCAATTAATAATCCGGATTTACCGGCCCGAATTGAAAATAATTGGGAAATTAATTAAAATTATGACTATAGTACTTTCTTTACAGGAGGAGAAAAAGGATATACTGATTGGGAAACTCATTAAACTTAGTGATTGTTTGTTTTTTATATTTATTTATTCAATTTTTTATTTAGTTTTTTATATAAAAAAAATATATTTTTCTTTTTTATTTTACAAAATATTAAAAAAAAAATATTATGTTTTTTATAAAATAAAAAAAATATTTTTTTTTTTTTTTTTATAAATTCAATAATTAATAAAAAACTTATTTTAATAAATTTTTAATTTCTTATATATCTAAATAAAACAAAATAAAAGAAAAGAAAAAAATAAATATAAATAATATAATAAAAAAGAACAATAAATATAAAAAAAGTAAATACATAATATAAATAATTTAATTAAAAAAAACAAACATAAATCTATTCATTTGTTACAATTTCAAAATCCCTTTACACTCTCCTAACTCCCTATAAAATGGAAATCATAGAACTAAAAAGCCGTTTTTCCCATCTCCCCACCCCATAAATAGAGATAAAGAGGGTAAATATTATTTCAAAAGTGCATTTTTTAATTTAATAATAACTGAATGTTCTGTCATATTTCGTTTATATATAATTATTTCATATGTCAATTTGGAGAAAAAATAAAAAGAAAAATTTATTCACAATAAAGGTGGAAAAATTTACAATCAAATTTTCATTAGTGAAAGTAATTATATGGTGAATTCCCCCATAACCATTTCTAAAAGTGCAAAAATATACAAAATAATCTTTATTAAATAACACTATATCCTTTTCCAAAAAAAAATATATCCAAAGAAATGGAAAAAGTCGGAAAAGAATTCCAAAGCAAATTAAAATCGGCTAAACAAATTGATTTTTTAACTGAGTTTAACTACATGCGGCTAATGGATGTCTTTAAGATGAATTTTCAGAAGATGAAACGAACAACAGAAATTATTAATATAGAAAAAGTATAGAAAAGAAAAAAGATGCCGTTTTTTAATAAAAATATTAGATGATGCAATTAAAATTTTAGGAAAAGATAATGTAGGTATCAGATTTTCACCTACAGGCAGATATAAAGATATGTATACTTAAATTAATGGAATATATGCTCACTTAATGTAGTAATAGAAAAATTGGACATATAGAAATAAAAAGATATGCTCCTTCAGAAGGAAATGAACTTCCAGAAAAATAAATTCCTGATTTCTTTAGAACACTAAAGCCTTTTATTAAATACAACTTATATTTTAAATGATTCGATTTCTTTAGAGGAAGCCAAACAATTAATATTGGAGAATTTGTGTCATTTGCAAGATATGCAATTAATAATCCGGATTTACAGGCAAGAATTGAAAATAATTTGGAAATTAATTAAAATTATGAATATAGTACATTATTTTAAGGAATAAAAAAATATATGTTTATTATGAATTTAGTAAATATATTAATACATAATTTATTATTACAAAAAATAAAAAATATATATATATCAGTAAATTAAATAAATAAATATAAATATATAAATATAAATATTTATATATATATATATATATATATAAATAAATATATATAATTGAATAATAATTATAATAAAATATAATATATATTTATTTTAAAAGATTTAATATATAAAAATATTAATAAAACATTTTTCAGTTTTTATAATTATAACTTTTAATATAATAATATATATTTTTTTGAAATTATTCATTAATTTATTTTATATACATATTATTATTATTACTATTTTAAAATAATCAAGAATTGACACTTTATTTATATATTTTAAATTATTTATACCAATTAATATAAATAATTTTAGAAATATAAACTAATGTTATTATATTTTTTTTTTTAAAAAAAAAAAATATATATAATAATTTACATTATATTATATATAAAAAAAGAAATTAAAATAATATAATAAATTATTTATTTTATTTTATATATTATTTTTAAATATATATTAATAATAAATAAAATTATTAATGTAAATATAATAAATAAAATTAAATATATATTAAAAATAATAATGGGTAAAATTATTATAAAATAGATTTTTTTTTTTTTTTTAATTTTTTAGAATTAATAAAAATCAAGACTTAAATAAATTTGTTTATTAGTTTTATGAATTAATAATTTTTTGATTTAATGGATTATAAAATAATTAATACAAATATATAATAGTACATACTAACTAAATTAATATAAAATCTTAGCAATTTACCAAAAAAAAATACTGAAATAATTTTTTAAAATACTAATATAAAAACAAAATATTGAAATAATAAATCTTATTAGCAAAAATTTCTCTAATTTATTTAGTTATTATGTTTTCCATAATTTATATTTTTTAAATTTAATTTAATATATATAAATCATAAAGACAACAAAAATAAATGATTTTCAATTTTTTTCATTAAATTAATTTTTTTTTTTTTAATAAGATATAATTTTTAATTATAAATAAATTCTATAAAATCAAATTTACAAAAAAAATGCTTAAATACTTATTTTTTATGCTTGATTGTAATTTTTTATTTTTTTTACACATTTAAGAAACTAAAAATGCTTTTAATAAAATCATATTTATAAATTTGTACTATTTAATTATAATTAGGATAGCAATATATATTATTATCATTTTATTTTTAAAAAATAGAAAAATAAAACGTTAGAATAATCAAATGTAAAGCATTGAATTTAAAAGAAAATATTTTATTAATTGTTGTATTTTTTTAGAGAAATAAAAATAGTAATTTATTGACAATTAAAAGAATTTATTTAAAAATACTTAAAAAAAAATATAAAAATTTTGATATAAACTTAAAGGGAAATAAAATATAAAGAAACTAAGTATTATTATTTTTATGACATTAATTTTTTTGGCTTTATATATTTTTTAGTATTTTTTATAATTAATAAATTTTTTAAATTATTAATGCATACATTTACTCTTATTTTTCTTATTTTATCTAAAATATTTAATATTTAAAAGTATATTTATTTATATAAATATAAAGTTTTTTTTATTATAAGACATTTAAAATAAAATATTAATTATTAAAAATGTATATATAGAATAATTATTTGTATGTAAATTGTATAATATTTTTAAAAATAAATTTAATTTAAGTAATTTACAAATTTATAATAAATAATATAAAAAATAAAAATAATTTTATATTGATATTAATTAACATTAATTAATATATATTTAAATGAAAAATGGGATATATATATAATTGTATGATAACTAATATTATTTAATGATATATTTTTAAAATATATAAATTTTATTAATTTTTTTTTTAAAATAATACTATATTTTTTAATTCTATGTTAAAAAAAATATTATTAATTATTATTTATATTAAGTATATGTTATATTATTTAAATAATAAAAAATTAAATATGATTATAAATAAAAATATTAAAACTTTTAAGTTAAAAAAATAAAAAAATAAAATATAATTTAAATAATTTATATAATTTATTTAATTTATATAATTTATATAATTTATATAATTTATATAATTTATATAATTTAATAAATAATTAAATATTAAAATATATTTTATTATATAATATTTTATAATATATTAATTAAAAATAAATTATTTAAATATTTAAAAATATTAAAAAAAGCTCCTGTATAATATCAAATTTAATATGGCTTACAAAATCAAAATATTTATTTAAAAATTGATTAAAATTTTAAATGATTAAAAAAATAAATTAATATATATTTTATTAATTTTTTTTTTAATAAAAATAATAAAAAATATAAATAAAAATATAATAAGATTTCAATCATAAAATTTTTAATAAATAATATTATTTTATCCCTTTAAAAAAAAAAATTAGATAAAAATTGAAAAATTTGTAATATAAATATATATTTATGTTTATATATATTTGTATTAATATTAATATTTGCATTTTCTTTTATTATTATTTTTTATATAAAATTATTTTATTAAATAATAAATATTTATTTTATCATATTAATAATATTAAATTTATTTTATCTTTTATATTAAAAATTTTGATTATATATAATACAAATAATTAATATAACAATAATATAATATATTAAATATTTATTTTAAAATATATTTAATATATTTAAAAAGAGTCTATAAATAATAGAAATAAATTTTATTTAATAAATACAAATTTCAAATATAATAAAATTATTTATAATTTTCATTAATATATTATAAATACTTTTTAAAATAAATTTATATTAATTTATCATATTAAAATGGAAGTAATAAAAAGAAAAAAATAATATAAAAAATAAATAATATTACTTTAAAATTTTATTATTATTTTTTATATAAAAAATACTTAAATAAATATTTGAAATTATGGGTTTAATAAAGAATTTATATGTTTATAAATATTAAAATATAAATTATTATATTTAAATATTAATTAATATAATAAAGTATATATTATATTATTTCTTAATTTTTATAAAATTCTATATATTTTTAATTTTTTTATTTATGATTTTTTATTCTTCTAAAAATAAAAATGTTTTAAAAAATATATTTTTTGGTTTAAATAAGAAAATATATTAAAATTTATAATTATCCT